ACACACACACATACACACACACAGAGAAACACACACACATTCACACAGAGACACACACATACACACACATACACACATACACACACATACACAGAGAAACACACACACACATACACACACACAGAGAAACACACACACAGACACACACAGACACACACACATACACAAACATACACACATACACACACACATACATAGAGAAACACACATACACACACACAGAGAAACACACACATACACACACAGACACACACATACACACATACACACACACATACACAGAGAAACACACACACACATACACACACATACACACACAGAGAGAGAAACACACACACACACACACACACACATTTGAGATGGGGTCTAAGGCAACCCAGGCTGCCCTCAAATTCCAAATGTGCCCAAGGACACCCTTGAACTCCTGAGCCTGTGTTGCTTAAACACTGGCATGACAGGTATGTCTCATCACACCTTGTTTAAGAGTGCAAATGTTCTATCAATCAATAGAATCATAACCACAGCCACAATTCTAAATAACAAGCTTTTGTGTGCATGTCGCCTCAAAACAATACTGCAGCGGGTTGGTGGTGGCACACGACTTTAATCCCGGGATCTCTGTGAGTTCCAGGACAGGCTCCAAGGCTTCAGAGAAACCCTGTCTCAAAAACCCAATCCCTCCCCCACAAAAAAACAATAGTATTCAGCCACAGCATATCTATATTGATATAGAAAGATGCCAAAGAGAGTTGACTGAAAACCAGTTGGATCTTATTGTGTTTGTTTTTAATTTTATTGTATGTGTATTGGTGTCTTGCCTGCATGTGTATCTGTATACTGCATGTGTGCCTAGTGCCCCTGGAGGACAGAAGAGGGTATTGCACCCCCTGGATTAGAGTTACAGATGGTTGTGAGTCACAGTGTGGGTGTTTAGAATTGAAACCATCTTTCTCTCTCTTTTTGTATTTTTTACTTTATTTTATGTGTATGATCAGTTTGCCTTTATGTGTATGTCTGTACACCACTTGTGTGCACCTGGAAGTAGAGTTACAAACAGTTGTGAGCAGCCGTGTGAGTGCTGGGAATTGAACCTGGGTCCTCTGAAACAGCAGCCAGCGCTCTGAACCTCTGAGCCATCTCTCCAGCCCCTTTTGTGTTTGTTTTTAAAGATTTCCTTTGGTGACCTTTTGTGCTTGGATTCCTCACTGCAGACCCCATCTCTGGTCAGTTCTTCCTGGAGATTAACATGACTGATAAGATCTTACTTTGTTTTTTCATGACCAGGACTAGGAAATAGCTCCATTGGCTCCAGGAGACCCTGGGTTCAATTCTTGTTCCAAATAGGTCCACAAATCACAGGTTTATGCCTGTATATTTGTGAAGTGTTCATACGTGATTGTTTTGCTTGCATGTATTTATGTGCACTGTATGCACGTGACATCAACTCCCCTGAAACTGCACTCACGGACGGTTGGAAGTCACTATATGGATAGGTACTGAGAACCAAACTCATGTCTTCTGCAAGAACAAGCATACTTAACCTCTGATCTGCCTCTCTAGCCCACCTTATTTTTTGAGACAGTCTCTCACTGAACTTGTTCTGAAGGGACCAGCTCCCCATTTCAGCAGCCATGACAGTAACACATGCTTGCCATGACCTTGCCTTGGTCACTAAGAGGTCAGATGCCTGCCTCTTGGCAAGGAACCAATCAGAAGTTAGCTAGTGGTGCTATGCTTTATGACTCTGGGTGTGCTTTACACGGACAAGTGCACAGCAATGACTCAAAGAGCATAGCAACCACCCTGGGAGGGCCTATGGGCCATAACAACCAGTTGACCAATCAACCCAGGGCAAGCACTCCA